GGCTCAGCTCAGTTCAGCTCAGCTCAGCTCAGCTCAGCTCAGCTCCTCCCACCGACAGCATCCCAATGCTGATACCTCACCTGCTCACCACCACAGTGACGCACGGCTGATCCACTTCTGCAGCCGTACGCTTCGAGACGCCATGGCGCCACCTTCACAAAAGCCAGCTGGCGCCCAAGCCACCATCAGCGCCTTTTTCAAGCCCAAACCAAGCCCCAGCTCCAGCTCGAACGGCGCTAGCTCTTCTACCGCTCGCCCTCCATCAGAGCCTCCATTCAAGAAGCCACGCTTGGCCGTGTCCGAGGCACCTCGCCGCGAGACCTTGGCTCGCATGGACAGGTGGCGCTTCGAAATGGACACCGCCACCACCAGCGACCCGGACCCGACGATCAAGACTGAATCGTCACAAGCAAATAGCGACCGCTCGTCCGAGTCGGACACCCGACACAGGGCCTTTCGCAGAAAGCTGCTCGGCTCCGAATTTGCCGTCGACCGCCATGCCCGCAACCAGATGCAGATCGAACGCATGTCCGCCGCAGACACCCCAGCATCAGAGGATGCGCTCGATGCGCCTGGATCGGCAGACAATGCGATCGTTCTGGAAGACGACGACGTCGAGGACTCTACGGAGACGGCAGTTCCTCCTTCAAATCGTTTTGGCCGTTTCGCCGCCGCCGAAGGATCGTCATCCACCGCCAGCAAGACATCCAGCTCGCGTGCAAAAGGCAGAGGATCGGCAAGTCTGGACCCGTCTGGACCCACATACACCCCACTCGAGAAGCAGATCCTCGAGCTCAAGGCTGCGCATTCCGGCGTGCTGCTCATCATCGAAGTCGGCTACAAGCTCAAGTTCTACGGAGAGGACGCGCGCATCGCCAGCAAGGAGCTCAACATCATGTGCTTTCCCGAGCGCAATCTTCTCACCGCCATGATCCCTGTGCACAGACTCCACATCCACGTCAAGCGCCTCATCCAGGCTGGCCACAAGGTCGGCGTCGTCCGCCAGATCGAGACACGCGCTCTCAAAGCGGCGTCCAAGAACGCCTACACCCCCTTTGTGCGCAAACTCACCGCGCTCTACACGGCGAGCACTTGGATCGACGACCTCTCCAGCTCTGACGACGTCAACCTTGCCACAGGAGCCGCGCACACCTACCAGCCAAAGTCGCTCATGGCCCTTGTCGAGCAATCCGAGGGCGGCAACGGTCCCGAAGACCGCGTCGCCATCGGCCTCATCAGCGTCGAGGTCAACACCGGCTATCTCACTTACGACCAGTTTTCCGACTCGCATGCCCGCACCGAGCTCGAGACACGCATCGCTCACCTCGCGCCTGCCGAGCTGCTCGTGCCGCAGGAGCTCACACGGCCAACCGAAAAGGTCATCGGATACCTCCTCGGCAGCGGCGCAGAGGGCGGCGTGAGGATCGAGCGTGTCGCGTCCAAGCTCGACTACAACCAGGCCTTCCAGTCGGTCACTCAATTCTACCGCGACCAAGTCTCTGGCGACAGTACCAGCACCAACATCGAGATGGACGTAGACGCACAGGACAAGCGCCCTGCCGAGCTCATGTCTCTGATCCAGAGTCTTCCACACCTCGCGCTCATCGCGCTCGCCCAGATCATCCATCACCTCCAGGCGTTCAACCTCGAAAGCATCTGTACGCTCTCAACCAACTTCCAGTCATTCTCGTCGCGCACCACGATGCTCTTGAACAGCAACACGCTTGCCAATCTCGAAATTTTCCGCACCGTCGATGGTCAGGAGAAGGGCAGCCTCATCTGGCTGCTCGACAAATGTCGCACCAGCATGGGTCGCCGGCTGCTGCGTAAGTGGGTCTCGCGCCCGCTCACCGACGTCGACGCACTCGAGAGGCGTCTGGACGCCATCGAGGCCATCATCTCGGCCAAGAGCTACGTGGTACACATGCTGCCCAACTTCCTCCAGGGGCTGCCAGACTTGGAACGCGGACTTGCGCGCATGACGTACGGACGCGCTACTCCAACCGAGCTCGCCACGGTTCTGCTCTCGCTCAACCGCGTCACGCAGGAGGTGCGCGCCGCCGAGCGCGACACGTGGAAGCTCGACTCGAGCCTGGTGGAGGAGCATCTGCTCAACCTTGCCGCAGGCAAGACGGCAGTGCAGACCTATCTCAACCAGATCTCGATCAAGGAGGCGCGCGCGAACAACAAGGCGGATCTGTTTGCGGATGCCGAGCGGTACCCGGCGATCCAGACGGCCAAGGACAACATTGCGATTGTCGAGACCGAGCTGCGCGAGCACCTGCGCGAGCTGCGCAAGACGCTGCACCGGCCGAGCCTCGAGTACGCCAGCGTGTCGGGCGTCGACTATCTGGTCGAGGTGCGCGTGGCGGACGCCAAGAAGGTGCCGGCCGACTGGCTGCGCGTGAGTGCGACCAAGGCGATGGTGCGCTTCCACACGCCCGAGGTGATCCGGCTCACGCGGCTGCGCGACCAGCACAAGGAGACGCTCGCCGCGGCGGCCGAGAGTGCGTTCGGCGACTTTGTGCGAGCCATGTGTACGACCGAGTACGTGGTGTTGCGCAATGTGGTGACGAGCCTGGCGGTCCTGGATGTGATCGTGTCGCTGGCAGAGCTTGCGGCGAGCAGTGGATACACGCGGCCGCGGTTCGAGCCGTCTTGGCCGGGCGATGGCGAGTCAGGCGTGCGTGTCGAGGTCAAGGCGATGCGTCATGCTATCCTCGAAGTAGTGTCTCCGCTGCCGTATATTCCCAACGATCTGGTGCTGTCGGACGACACGTCGCGCGCGGTGCTGCTGACCGGTTGCAACATGGGCGGCAAAAGTTCGGTGGTTCGGACGCTGGGGTTGCTTGTGGTGCTTGCGCAGATCGGATCGTATGTTCCCGCGGCCGAGGCCAAGTTGGGTGTTCACGACGGCGTGTTTGTGCGCATGGGTGCGCGCGATGCCATGTTTGCCGGTCGCAGCACGTTTATGGTCGAAGTGGCCGAGACCGCCGAGATCCTGCGCGCAGTGACGCCTCGTAGCCTGGTGATCCTCGACGAGCTTGGACGCGGGACGAGCACGCACGATGGGGTGTGCATTGCATGGGGTGTGCTCGAGTATCTGCTGCAGCTCAAGAGTATGCCCAATGTGGTGTTCATCACGCACTACCTCCAGCTGGCCGAGCTGGTGCGGCGGTACGGCGCGAGGAACATGCACATGGCGTATGTGCAGCGCGACGGCATCCAGTTCCTCTACACGCTCAAGCAGGGCGCCACCGCCTCGTTTGGCATCCACTGCGCCAGGCTCGCCCAGCTTCCGAGCCAGATCACGCACACGGCCGAGACGGTGGCACAGCGCATGCAGGCGCACCACGAAACGAGGGTCCAAGTGGCAGCGGCCAAGAAGGTGCTCAAGAGCGTGTTCAAGGGTGAGGTCGGGCCGGACGACTTGGCGGCAGTGCGCGATGCGGTCGCGCGCAGGCAGCCATACGATGCGTAGCCGATACGCATCAAAGCCAACCCGTACTCGATGCACATCTTTTCCACCACCGCACTGCACTGGGCGCACCCACATCACTGAGCACTTTTCAAACACACCTCGATCCTCAATACCACACACGACTTTGAGAAAGCAGCACAACAAAGCATTGAGCAAGAGACGACAAGAGGCAACTAGAATACAGACTCGGATGGAAAAGTACAATCGAACGACGCGGATTAGACATCGCACTCCATCTGGCGCTCGGCCATGGGACGCTGCCTTGGCTCGGGCATGTCGTTGAGCAGCTGGCTGAGCGTGGGCAGCGTCGGCCTGCCAGGGGGGGTGGGGGTCGAGTTGCGGTCGCTGTCGACATCGCGCACATGCTCCGCCTCGGCCGAGGGCGTGGTCTCTCCATCCTCGGTCTTGCTGCGCGCAGCCGAGGTGAGGATGGGTGGCAGACGCACACGCTGTTGCGACTGCAGCTTGGCGCGCGCCTGGTCGGGGAAGTTGATGGCAATGAGCAGGTCGCGGATCAGACGCACGTGCTCGCGCGCCATGGCCTCGCGCGCCTCGCCATCCAGCGACGGCGAACGCGCCAGCGGCCGACCCAGACCCTGCATCTGCGACACCTGCTCGGTGAGGCTCGGGTAGAGCGACGATGACGACGACGACGAGGCCGACGACGGCGATGGCGACGAGGCGGGTGCAGAGTGGCGCGTGCCCGCCGATTCCATGGCCGCACTCTGGCGTCGCATCGAGGGCAGGCGTGCGTCCGAGTCGAGCAGCGAGCTGATCGACGCCGACGTGCTGGCGGTCGAGTTGGACCGCAGCGGTGGCAGGCGGCGTGATGCCTCCGAGGGCGACACGCGGGGGTAGAGGCCGTGCGAAGGCGACGAGCTGTCGCGTCGGCCCGCCTCGGACCATCCGCTCTCGGACGAGGCGGCGGGGCTCACGGAGCGATATCGGTCGCCGGCGCCGGCATCGTCGTCCAGCTCGTCCTCCTCCATGGCGTCCTCCTCGGCCTTGACCGGGGCGGTGCGGAGCGCATCGGCGCGGAGGGTGTCGGCGTGCTCGGGAGCGGCGCGGGTG